CAGCGTGTCGCGCACGCCTACGCCCCCGGGGGTTGCTCCGCGCGCGTGCTGTCCAACCTTCCCGCATGCCTCGAGGCATGCGGCTTCGTCCGTTGCGCGTGCATCCCGTGCATCTGGCCTCTCCGTGCGCGCACGCATCGACCCCGCGCTACGCACGGCTGGCCCGTCCACGCTGCGCATGCCAGCCGCGTGCACTGCCTGTGCATCCGCGTGTAGCCCATCAGCGCCCATCTCGTGCGCACTTCGCTCCAGCACACGTACTTCTACCGTCGCTCGTGCTTGCCTTTTACGTGCGTGATAGGCTCGGCTAGCCGCGTTCTTGAGCTGCCTAGCCACTTCCGCATCATTCCCGTCCCCTTCAAGTGATTCCTTGTCCTCAAGGATAAAGTTCGGGAATTGATCACGTATCTCTTCAAGATCCTCCCACGTGGCTTCTTCTGGTGGAAGCTCTTCCCAGTCAACTAGCACCTCCCAACGATATCGTCCTGCCCTCTTTACCTTACGGTACTCAATTGCTCGCTTTGGGCGCACTATAGCTCTGCCGTCGGTTGCCGTTGCTGGTAGCTCCTCACAGTACTTCTGCGCTTCCCCTAGGCTTCTTTTGAGCTGTGAAACATGTATAACCGGGTGGATCTGCGAATTTTCGGGTAACTCCAGACGATAAGCTACCTGACCAATGCGTTTCAAGATCTGATACGGCCCATAATAACGAACGCCCAGCTTAGTAGCTGCCCTTTGCGCAGTCGTGCATTGCCTGAATGGTCGAAGCTTCAGATAGACGTACTCTCCTGGTACAAAATTTTCTTCACGCCTCTTCCCGTCGGCGAAGGACTTGGTCCGATTAATCGAGCCTTCAAGATTTCTCTTCAGTTCACGCAGCATCAAATCTCGTTCCTCAAGCTCACGACCAACCTCATCGTTGACTGTGTTCCCCTCAGAATAATTGATCAGGGTTGGTGGTTTTCGTCCATATACTAACTCGAATGGCGTCATCTTGGTCGATTCGTGGTAAGTGGTGTTGTACCAATACTCAGCCCATGGTAAGAAGTTTTCCCACCTCCTTGGAAACTGATGGACATAGCACCTTAAGTACTGCTCGAGTGTCCGGTTAGTTACCTCGGTTTGCCCATCTGTCTGGGGGTGGTATGCTGAGCTCATAGATAACTTGGTCCCTTGAAGCTTAAAAAATTCAGACCAAAAACTGCTCATAAAGATCCGGTCTCGGTCAGAGACGATAGAACGAGGTGCCCCATGCAGTTTCATCACATACTCCACGAATAACCTAGCAATTGACTTTGCGGTGTAAGGATGGGTAATGGGTATGAAGTGATCGTACTTCGTGAGACGATCCACCACAACCATAACACCGTCAAACCCATTAGAATTTGGTAGCCCCTCGATGAAATCCATGGTGATGTCTTCCCAAATTGCCTCGGGTACTGGCAAGGGTTATAACAACCCACCTGGCCGTCGCGAGTCAGACTTAGTACGCTGACAATCGTCGCATCGTGCTATGTAGTCCCGGACGGTACCTTGTTGTCCTGGCCAGAAGAACGTGTTGGCTATCCTCATCCACGTGCGATAGATACCCGAGTGGCCTCCAACCTTGGAGTCATGGAAGTGCTGCAAAATCTGCTCGCGTAACTGCCCGCTGTCGGGGACATAGACTCGACCTCGGTGTAGAAGTAGATCGTTATGCAGCTCGTAGTCGATAGCAGTTGTCTTTCCTGCTTCTATCGACTGGCGCAGTTCCTGGAAATGGGTATCCTCTACTTGCGCCTTCCTGATCTCCTCCCAAATGGCCCAAGTAGGCCCAGTGATCGCACTCAACTCGGCCACGTCTGTTCGCCGGGATAGTGCGTCGGCTACTGTGTTCTGGCGACCTGGTCGATAGATTATCTCGAAATCGAACCCCATAAGTTTAGACACGAACTTCTGTTGCTCGGGGGTAACAATCCTTTGCTCCAATAGGTGCTTGAGCGGTTGCTGATCGGTAACAATCTGAAATCGCCGGCCTAGTAGATAAGGCCTCCAACACCGTACAGCCTCGACAACTGCTAACATCTCTTTCACGTATACTGACAGACCCAGTCGAGTAGTGCCCAGCGCTTTGCTGAGATAGGCTAGGGGTCGCCCCTCTTGTACTAACACAGCCCTAATTCCAATGTCGCTTGCATCGGTATGTACCTCGAACAAGACATCAAATCTGGGCATGGC